AATAAATTAGAAGCTGCTGGAACGCGGGTGTCACTGTCCACCGTCAGGCGTGTTTTACAACATCACAGGCTTTAAGGCTGCTGTGCAAGAAGGAAACTCTTTCTCCAGAAGAGACACATTAAGGCTGAAGTTTGCTGCTGATCACGTGGACAAAGAAAAAGGGCTTCTGAAGGAAAGACAAAGACGCATGTGTTTCAGTGATTCCATCATAGCAAATTGCGAGCTGTAGAAGTCACTGGAAACTTAGGACTGCAACAGTATACATGGTCTTTACAAGTGTATGTCTGGACTAGCGATAGACATTGAACTCTCACTTGGAGGAATGGCCTTTAACCTGGAACCATTTACTACTGTTCTTGGATAAAGGCAGCTAAACACATATGCACTGGATAAACAAGATTTGCTTTTTTACCAGGACTCATGGAATGTACATATTGTTGGTGAATGCTGTGTTCCACGTCTAGTTACTTTGAGGTTTTAATAGTCCTGGAAGAGAGCCAAACATTAAGATCACTGATTCCTGCTGATGACATAAATATTTATAAAATGAGTTGAAGTGTATAGTTTCATTACATAAAAAGGATTTGAAAAAGGCATTTACTGGGGCCTATTTTCAGCATTACTTTAACTTGACCTCATGCTCATGTAACACAATGCAACAGAGTGGCTCATTAATAAATCTTTAATGGTTTTGGACAGCAGAAGGAGTCATGACTGGTGTGACCCACTGTGTTTCCTATTTAATTAGCACCAACACTGGATCCTTTCCTTTCAACGCACACAGACCTGACAGCGAGCGAACCATGTGGAGATATTTGACCAAAATATATTGGCTTAGAATCACATATTCAGCCTTTTTATTTGTTGGTTTTGGTCTTTTAATGGGATGCACTGACAATCAGAACATATTTTTAAAATCACACTCCTCATGCTGTCTTTAGCTAAGTCTGTTTACCTTACACCTATGTATTTGTTTTTTGATTCTAGTGCCCCAAAAGATCAGGAGGAGTCCACTTGAGTGTCCTACATGCCTGAAGAAAGGAGAATTGCTGCTGTTCTAATACATGCCTTTGTNGGTTCTTGACATTGATGCTTTGGAAGCTCTAACAGTGGGCAGCATAAAGATCTCAAACTGTGATGGCTAGGCCACTGGGTCATACAGTCTCCTGACCAGTCCCACAGAAGAGCTACTGTAGCACACTTTGCTGAAAATAGCAATGCTGGCTACGACAGAAACGTGGAAGAACACAGTGCAACGCAGCTTCCTGCATGTGGAACTACAAAGCTGCGGACCAGTCAGTGTGTCCATGCTGACCTCTGCCCACCCACGAAAGCAGTGACAAGTATGTGAGTGTCAGAATGAACAGTGAAGCAATAAAAGAAGGTGGCCTGGTCTGATGAATCTGTTGCATGTCCATCACATATCCAGAGAAGTGATGGCACCAGGGTGCCATGTGGGAAGTACACAAGCCGGCAGAGGCAGTGTGATGCTCTCAGCCACTTTCTGCTGGGAAGCCTTGGATCCTGGCAATCATGTGGATGTCACTTTGTAGAGAGTTTAAGGTGTTGACTTGGCCTCCAAATTCTCCTCTCATCTGTGGGATGTGATGAAAGAACAAGTTCGATCCATGGAGCCCCACCTTGCAACTTTCCAGATTGAAAGGATCTGCTGCTAATATGTTATTGGCTGATACCACAAGACACCTTCGGAGGTGTGTGGAGTTCATCCCCCAACGGGTCACAGTTGTTTTGGCGACACGACGGGAACCTGCACGATATTACTCAGGTGGTTTTAATGTTGTACTGGATTGGTATAGTATACACATCATTTTCAGGACATTGACACAGGGATGTTTCAGGGGGAAAAAAATAACACCCAAAATGTCTAAAACTAAATTTTAAATATTAGATGTTTGTCTGTGGTTCCCTGCAAGTACTCGATAAATGAAAAAAAAAAAAAAAGTTTCAAGTACATTGTACAAGTATTTACAAAATAAACCAATTTTTAGTTTGGTCATTTTTCTGTTTTTTCACAAAAAGACAAAAACCAACACCATGATAAACCATCTTTCAGTAGAGAGCGTCATGAAGTCACGACTGGGCTACATTCTGTTTCAC